CGTTAATCCTACCTCCCTTCCCTCCCTACTCTCCCATAGTTTCCCACCACTGTCAGTTCTTTTCTTTCAGTATTATGATAGATGTTCAAGGTCCACTTATGAGTGAGAACATGTGATACTCAGATTTTAGTGCCCAGTTTAAGCTTGTTGCTCAAGGGGTCTCGGGTTTAATGACCTGCAGCCATGCTTGCAGAGAATTAAAGGCTAACTGCCTGGGATGTTGGTTTTCTCATTCTGTGAAGAAAGTAGTTCAAGAATCTGCCCATCTTGGTTGCTTTGTTTAGCTTGTGTCCTGGGGCTACACATGAGAAAATGAGATCGTAAAAACAATGGAGGGGGTGGATAGAAGGGAGACTTGTGGGAGCAGATAAATACAGTGATGTCAAACTCAGGAATATTTAAATGGGAAGAGAAAATGTTATGTTGTCTATTTTGATATAAACTACTAAATCCGAATGAGAAACATTTCAGTACTTCACTCCAAAACACATTGCATGCCATTCTATCCTTTTCAAAGAAGAATTTTGGGATCATATTCTAAATGCTTTTAAAGAGGCATTGACTACTTTATATCTGGGGTTGTATATAGCGTGACCAGCCATCCTTATTTGCTCAAGACTGAGGGAATCTTTTAGTGTTAAAATGAGGAAAGTCCCAGGCAAACCAAGAGTAGTCACTTCAGTTGTAAAGAAAGTAAACGTAATGTTGAAGGAGTAAGGTCATATTAATGTAACAATATATTGATATTGACTTTTGTGATTACTACTAAAGTTGTTCAATGGCAGTACTTAATATCACAAGGCCAAATTATATCATCAATTTCTGATACCTTCTCTAAAACAATCACTGTAATAAAATTACCAGCTTTAGTTTTAGGGAAAATTTTCACTAATTCACTTCAATTTTTATATGTCACAAATAACAAAATGGTAACCAAAATATGATGTTTTGAACAAGAACATGAACATGAGGTCATTTATTCCATTTCAAACCAAAAATGTCTTTTTGCAAAAGTCATAGATTTGTCTTTAAAGCTTATTTAAAATTTTGAAAAACACTATTTTTCACAAGGTCATTCAATTTAGTCTGTTCACAAAAAGGACTATTTTGATTCTGTAGTCTGGTACCCCATTGCACACATTTACACACATTTGTGCAGACTTTTTTTTAAGAGAACATATTTAAGCAGATTTAACCTGTGACATATTAGAGAGAGCAGGGGTTTTAGAACCAGACAAATTAGACAGAGGAAATTCTTCATTGTGCATGGAATTCCTCCTCTAAAGAATGGAGTTATTATTTTCACCACAACCTAAATTATTGGTAATGTGCTCCAAAACGTTTGCATTTATATTAGATTTCAGTAAAAATGCTGAGTCCTCACTATAAAATATCCTTTATTTTATTTTATTTTTTATTTTAAAGATGTGGGATACAATTCAGGGTTAGGTACATACGCGGTCATCATACAGGTAAAGTGTGGTTACCCTTATTGATGTTATGTGCCCACCTGCCTCAGTAGTATCCCACTACTACCAGTCCCTTTCTTATAGTATTTTAATAATGATCAGGGTACCTTTGTTTCTTTTAAAAAAAAATGGCACCTTTGAGTAGCATTAATTGCTTAATTTGACTATTATCATGAGAATTTAGGCTTGTAAAAAGTTCACATACAAACTGCCAACTCCTTTGTTTCTTTGTTTTATTTTGTTTTTTGTTTGTTTGAGTCAGAGCCTCAATCTGTTGCCCAGACTAAAGTGCAGTGGCACTATCACGACGGTCACAGCTTATGACAGCTTCAATCTCCTGGGCCCAGGCAATCCTTCCTGCTCAGTCTCCTGAGTAGGTGGGACTATGGGTATCTGCCACCATGCCTGGCTAATTTTTTTATGTAGAGATGAGGTTTTGCTATGTTGCCCAGGCTGTTCTCAAACTCCTGGGCTCAAGGAGTCGGCCCTCCTCGGCCTCCCAAAGTGTTAGGATTATGAGCATGAGCCACCTCATTTGACTCTTTTGCTACTTTGGATTAAAACAGGAACCGATGGCTAAAGACTAATAATTATCCACAATTTACCACTTTATACAGTAAAAGATTTGAAGCTTTCAAAAGACATTTATTCTTCTCTTCTTACACTGCTGGAAAAGTGTGTCTTTTGCAAAGTTGTACACCCTTATAATAAAAATGACATTAGAGATGATGTCACCAATCAAAACTAGCAGCAAAGCAAATTAACACAGATCCTCACAACTATGGAATTGATAAGGTGTTGTGACAAATTAGTCTCTGGATAATTGAGAAATAACTAAATTCCATTTTCATTTTAATTCTTCACATTGAATTTGAATTCTAACACATTTTTATTTTAGTATGCTAATTTTCCCCAGATGTTACTGAGTTAGCCTTTTACTCTATATATTTTGTTATCTTTGGTCAATATATAATTATAAACACTTGGTTGAATAGCATAGTTCTAAGAAGTGGATATTTGACTGAAAATGTGTCTACTAACTACAGGTCAGCCCATGGGAGTTAAAGTGGTTCTTACATTTTTTAAACTACATGTTTGTTGTGATTTGGGACTGTGAGGGAAAAAAATGTACTCACTTACTGAGGGACTATTTGGTTCAACCACACGAGGTATTTTGTCCATGCACCACCCTGAGAAATAGCAACTGTCGACTTCATTCTTTACTGGGAAGTCAGAGTCAGAAATAGACATTCCCTCTCTGTCAGGTTTGATTTCAAAGTCTATGCTCTCTCTAATATTCCTCAGGGCAAACCTGTTTCAACTTGTTGTGTCCATAACAGGTTCTAAAAGTTTAAGAAGAGGGGGGAATATGAAATATTTATGAAAAATCTCTTACAAGAACTGTAGAAGCTTACAATGCTGTAAGCCCTAGTTTCAGTGTGAAGACCTTTCATTATGTGTTCAAAATATAACTACCACAAAGATGCCTAAAACTTAAAGTACGCAAAACCAAATTCTCTGTCTTCCCCCACTGAATCTACTTTTATACTTTTAGCCACAGCCTGATTATATTCATAGGCAGTGGGAACAAATATACTGACTAAAGTGTTGTCTCTGCTCAGTGCTAGACATCTCACATCACACAACCTCCAAGGAAGATGTTACATTTTTTCTTACAGATGGAAAAACTAAGGGTAGTGATGCCTGATGTCACATCCTAGCTGTCTGATGCCAAAGCTCATCTTCGGATGACAGTGGGTCCTACTATCCACCACACAAAATATGAACTTGGAAGTCAATCTAGACTTTTCCTTCTTTCTTGGTGCTTGCTCACTAAATATGAATCCCATTAATTCTGACCCTTGGACATCTTGCTCCATCCCTATGCCTATGCTTTAGTTTGGGTCCTCATGATTTCTCACCTGATCTTTAGCAAGATCCTCTTAAGTTGCACTTGGATACCTGTCTTCCCCAGACCCTAGGCACACACTCTCCAGAATATACTACGCTATTGCCTCAATGAACTTTCTAAGCTACAACCTGTTTGGATCCCTTGCTTAAAATATTTCAATGGTTCATTCTCTACCATATAAAGTCTGATCTCCCTCTAGCAAAAAACACCCTTCATTGTCTCATCCCTATAGTCTTTTCACATCTCAACCACTCCCTTATACAACCCTCCAAGCCCCTTAGTGTTCTCAGTTCAGTTAAACAAATCTCTCTCCTGCTTCTGCTATGTGGCAGGCACTGCACCAGGCCACGGGGTACAACGATGGACAAGGAAGAGATAGTCCTTGGTCTCAGGGAGCTCAGAGTCTGAGACAGACATCAGGAAATAAGTTCCTGTGTGATGAATGCTACAAAACAGTAAGTACAAGGGCACATGGCAGCAAAATATTGGGGAAAGGGTGACATTGAACCTGTGCGAGATGTGGAAAATGGCGTGAGATGGTCCCACAGAGTTGAGATTCAGGAAACCCCAAGGAGCTAAGCAGTGTCTCTGTACCTGCATAATACCTTTGATATGCTTCCAAGTAAGTTCCTGTAGGGCATTGGGCTGTTTATCTCTGCCACCCCCAGAAAGCTAAAGTTGCTTACACATGGGGACAGTGCCCTAGCCACAGCTGGTAACCCAGACAGCTACTGGGTCTGGTACGATGCAGTGTTCAAATGTTTGTTGGTGATGATACTGATGACATTAAGCACCTTTTATTTGCTGTCTCTGTGACATATTGATATATTTTGCAACAATCCCCCAAAATAGGTAATATACTTATTTTTACAGTTACAGAAATGAGGGCTAGAGAAGATAAACAAGCCTACAAAATTAAACAATGAGCCAATAAGATGGAGCCAGATAACACAGCAGCACCTGACAGCTAATATACATAAGGCACATTTTGATGATAATCAAACTTTGTTGGATGCCAAAGAGCAAGACAGAGAGAAATTCTGCCTACCATTGTGTTAAAAATGTGCCCCCCCCATAGCACTTGGGAGTTCAGTGAGTGTCATCCTATTCCCAAGGGCATTTCCATCAATAGATATATGAGGAAAGTCTAGTTTCTTGACCCACAAGACTGAGGACAAGATCCAGGTAAGTAAACCAAGCCTTCCTCAAAGAGCAGCTGTTCTTTACCAAAAACCTTCTTCAACTGTCATTAGCTCCCCTGTCAAGTTCCACATGGTGTCAAATGCTACAGAGAAGAGTTGACAACAGTGAAACTCAAAAAAAGGCCACTGCACTTGGTCCCTGATAACCTGGAGAGGAGAAGCCAGAAGAGTGGTAAGGATATGAGTCAAACTACAAGGAGCTAAGGAGTGGGATGGCAGTGGGCAAGATGAAGTTGCTGATGATGTGTGTGGTCGCAGTGGGGGCACTAGCAGGAGACAACAGAGAAACTGTTAGAGCTTGAGATGCCTGAGTGTGTTGTGGAAGGAGAAAGGAGCTAGCAGAGAAGGAGAGAGTCCAGGTGCAAGAAAGATAGCATCTCAGAAGAAGCAAGAGCTAAGATCTCAGAAGAGACCCAGGCATCCAGCCCCCAGCTCACCCCCACCCCTTCCAGCCCCCACTCCCCTTAGGAACCCAAGGTTCCGGCCCTCCTACAAATCCCAGCCACCCCTCCCCCATCAGTTTCTCCCCTCCAGGGGATGGAGGCCGAGAGACCCCAGGAAGAAGATGGTGAGCAGGGCCCCCCTCAGGATGAACAAGGCTGGCCCCCTCTGAACTCCACCACTCGGCCTTGGCGATCTGCTCCTCTGTCCCCTCCTCCTCCAGGGACCCGCCACACAGCCCTGGGGCCTTGCTCTGCCTCCCTGCTTTCCATGCAAACTGAGCTCCTTCTGGACCTGGTGGCTAAGGCCCAGTCCCTCTGCCTGGAGGAGCAGAGGGCAACCTTCCACACCCCTCAAAACCCCCCAGGCCTAGCCCCTGCCCCACCCCGGCCTCTCGAGGACAAAGAACAGTTCTACAGCACCATCCTCAGTCACCAGTGCCAGTGGATGGAAGCCCAGCGGTCAGAGCCTCCTCTCCCCCTAGGGGGGCAGGAGCTCCTGGAATTGCTGCTGAGAGTTCAGGGTGGGGGTCGAATGGAGGAGCAAAGGTCCCGGCCCCCCCCACACACACACACCTGCTGAGACACACACACTGCTGAGATTTAAGCTCCCAACCAGTCCCTCCTCCACCCTGGGACTCAAAGCTGGGCATGCCCTCAACTCTTGCTTGGCAGGGGCACCAAAGACTGGAAGATCCAGCAGAAATCTCAATATTCATTGCCCTCATCACTTTCCCTGGGAAAGCTGGGATGACAGGTATGAGCCACCGTGTCTGGCTTGGAATCCCCAGTATCAAAACAGAATTCTAGCTCTCCTCAATTTCCTTACTAAAGAGTACATCAAGAGACTTTCATAACTGCAAAGTCACAAGTCCCAAGATGTGGATTTTGGGACATGTTTGGGTGCCATTTTGGATGAAGAGATAAAGTAATTCCTCAAACCCTGGGAATAGGCAAGGTAGGCCCGTCATTTAACTTGTTCCCCAAGTACTTGGAAGCTTGAGGCAGTAAGAGGATCTCAGGCAGCCATCTCAGAGAGTGGCTAGGGTTGCTGTAGGGCCAGTTGTCAAGTTCCTGACCAGTTGTCAAGCTACTAGACAGGGTCCTAGGACTCAGGCCTCCACTTACCAAAAAAAGACAAATCTCCCAAGGTTATGACCTGCAAGACAGCTTTACCCTCCCTCCCAGTAAGAAGAAAGGATGGGTGGGTGGGCACAGCTAAGAGATTAGGACTACTTTCCTATTCCCACCACCACCCCCTAGCCCCAAGACTGAGGGGCCTATAGGCTGTGAATAAACCTTTAGCCCTGCCCACCCTCTCTCCCCACTGCTGCTGAGTCTGTCGGATGCTTTGGCTGTATAAATAAATATAACTCCCCTCTGGAAAAAAAAAAAAGATCTCAGAAGAGGTTGGTGGGAGTGGGCTTTAGGGCACAGAGGGAAGAACCAACCTTGGCATGACGAGTGACACTCTTCCCAAACAGATGGGACAAAGGGAGGAAAGGATAGAATTACCACGGAAAGGCTTTGAGATCAGAGGAAACTGGACTCGGTTTTTTTTTTCTGAGTCAGAATCTCACTCTACCACCCAGGCTGGAGTGCAGTGGCCCACTCATGACCACCACAGCCTCGACCTCCTGGACTCAAGTGATTCTTCCACTTCAGCCTTCCAAGTAGCTGGAACCACAGGCATGTGCCACCACACCCAGCTAATTTTTTGATTTATGGTAGAGATGAGGTCTTGCCAAGTTGCCCAGGCTGGTCTTAAACCCTTGGGCTCAGGCAATCCTCTTGCCTCTGGCTCCCAAAGAGCTGGGATGACAGGTATGAGCCACCGTGTCTGGCTTGGAATCCCCAGTATCAAAACAGAATTCTAGCTCTCCTCAATTTCCTTACTAAAGAGTACATCAAGAGACTTTCATAACTGCAAAGTCACAAGTCCCAAGATTTGGATTTTGGGACATGTTTGGGTGCCATTTTGGATGAAGAGATAAAGTAATTAATTCTACAAAGCTGACAGTGACCATGACTAGAATGCAAGGACGTTCTAATGTTACATGGAAAAAAGAACAGGATTGGATACGCTAGGAATTAGGGCACCTGAAAGAAGAAAGTGAGAGGGAAGATGGGTAGAAGTACAGAAATGTTGTGTTCATGTCCATTGGGCCTAGGCTACATAAACATAGAATGCTTCTTCTTCATCTAGTGCATTGCTGTAAGGAGACCACAATAAAAGCAGTTTGGAAACAATAACGGACCTTGGGTTGTTATTAAATAGATGGGTCAGCAAATGGATAAACAGAAGTTTAGAGGGATGGATGGAAGAGCAAATAGAGTACCAAAAGAACAGAGAAGAGAGGATAAAACATATTATATTGACCTACTACATATATGACTCCTGATTAGAAGACTATCAGTGCCGTATCATTAAGTAGATGAGGAAAATGGAAAGCACTGTGGTCTTTCCTTTGACTTTCTAATTTGCCCAGTGAAACAGGCGATTTGCCCAAGGAAGGAAAGTTAGAGAAGGGCAAGGAAGGTTTTATTTGAAACTTAAAAGTTTCAAACTTTGAAGCTTCAAAGTAAAAGCAAGATTCACATGTAATGAGCATTTCTTTGCAGTGCCAATAGTGAGGGAGAAGAAAGCATTTTGTTTTGTTTTGTTTTTTAGCTCCACAGATGAATCAGGTAGCCTTGGCCACTAGAGACCATGGAAAGGAAAATGGGGAGCAAAACTGTGAGCAATATCCATGAGAGAATGTCAAGGTTGTTCTGGAGGTAAGATGGAAAACCATCATTCAGGTTAGCAGGAAATGATCTTAAGTGGAAATTAGAGAAATGGCACCAAGTATGTCCAAGGGTTTAGGGTTTTTAAATTCTTGCTCCATATGTGGTTGACCTAAGTTTGTAACAGACCTGCAGATAATTAATAATGACATATTTGTCTTGCTACATTTTACTTTACAAATGTATGTTCCATATTTTAATGGGGAATTTATATTATGTATATATTTATATGAAAATCATATTTCAGTGTGAATGTTTGAACTTTTTCCTGTCTATTGCCAAAGTTAGAGAATTTCATTTTCAGGAGAGAAAAGTCTCTCTTGTCTGGGATAATTAGTAAAAGAAGAAAAATTTGAATTTGGAGGAAAACTTTGTGAGATAAAGTCAGTGGCAAAGAAAGAAAAGACTTTTTTTATAACAAAGCCTTACAAAATATTTATTTGCTTATAATTCCCAAATTAATAGTGATAGCCTATCTTGCACCTCAGTTTGAACTCAAGTATCCAGCTGCCCCATTTGATTGCCTCACACACTTCTCAAACTTAGCATCCTCAACAACACTCACCTTCTGGTCTACTCTTCTAAGCCTACTCCCTCAGCAGCTGCCTCCTTTCTAGAAAAAGCACTTTATCCTTCTAGCTGTTCAGGCCAAAAAAGTGTAGTGTTATCCTGGACCTCAGACTTGGTTTCACATCTGCCATTGAATCTATCAGCAAATTCTGTTCTCTCTCTCTGTCTCTCTCTCTCTTTTTCTTGAGTTGGGGTCTCACTCTGTCATCCAGGTTGGAGTGAAGGGGCATGTTCACGGCCACCGCAGCCTCGACCTGCTGGGCTCAGGTGATCCTTCCTCTTCAGTCTTCCAAGTCAATGGAACTCCAGGTGCACACCACCATGCCTGGCTAATGTTTTGATTTATTGTAGGGATGAGGTCTCACCAAGTTGCCCAGGTTGTTCTCAAATTCCTGGGCTCAGGCAATCCTCTCGCTTCTGCCTCCTAAAATGCTGGGATTACAAGTGCGAGCCACAACGTCCAGCCCCTCTTTTTAAAGCATGTAGCTCACTGGTTTACCTGCTTCCACCCTTGCTGTTCTTTGGTCTACTCCCAACACAGAGACAGAGTAACACATTAGGAGCGTAACTCCTATCACTGTCACTGGTCTGTGAATAACTTTCCCATGGTTTACCATTTCCTTTAGACTAAAAGTTTACCATGGTTTCCAAGGATCGAGGGCTTGGTATTTGCACTTGTTCTTTTAGCCTGGAATGTTCACTTCAGACTTCCCATAGCCACATGGCTCCTCCCTCATTCTCCTTCAAGTCTTTACTTGAATGTCACCTTCCCTGTGAAGGCTTCCCTGGTTACACCATATAAATTATAAACTTCCCTCAATTCTATTTTTCATTTCCTGGCACTCTCTGCCTCCTTTACCTGAGCTATGCTTCTCTGTAGCACTTACTTTCATCTGACATGTATAGTTTATTAATTCATTACTATTTGTCTACTTCCACTAGATTGGGAGCTACATACAAGCTGGGACTTTCTTGTTTGGTTCATTGCTGTATTCCTTGAACAATGCCTAGACAGTATGTAGTAGGCATTCAACAGGTGTTTGGGGAGGAAGAAAGGAAGGGAGGAGGGAGGGAGAAAGGAAAGGCTTATACATGCATTCCCAATAGTGTCTGTGGAGTGGTAAATATAAGAATAATTGTCAGAAGATGAACTCCATAATTCCTAAACATTAAATTCAGAAAAACATTGGACATTAAGAGAAGTATGAGACTCAAGCAAAAAAACTGCTTAACATGCATATCTGTAAACACACACACACACACACAGTGAATTTACAAATCTACTGAAACTGGAAAAAAATCTATAGAACAAGAAATGATCACTAGAAAGCACATACAATTTCATTATTACTAGTTGAAATAGGTAAGACGTCATTGAGATTGCTGTTGTTGAAGGTGTTGTCCTGTCATCTTGGTTTAGTGAATGCATGACTATTTAGTGATCTTTTATCGATGTATTTCCTCTCTTGGCTCTCCAGACAAATTTTCCCCCTTAAGTCCCAACTTTCTTAATGTCACATTTTCTTTTCATTTTTTTTTTTTTTTTTGAAGTGGAGTCTCACTCTGTCACCCAGACTGGAGTGCAGTGGCCGCTCCTGGCCACCGCAGCCTCGACCTGCTGCGCTCCGGCGATCCTTCTGCCTCAGCCTTCCAAGTAACCGGAATTACAGGCATGCGCTACCACGCCTGGCTGATTTTTTGATTTATTGTAGAGATGAGGTCTCGCTGCCCAGGCGGGTCTCAAACCCGCGGGCTCAGGAAATCCACTCACCTCAGCCTCCCAAAGGCGCAGGATTACAGGCTGAGCCACCGAGCCCGGCTCACATTTTCTTACAATAGCAGTTATCAAGAACCAAATCCTTAAACTGTAATGGGACTTCTGTATTCCTTTCTAAGCCTAAAGATAAATGACATCTGAACTATCCAGTGTTGGCATTCACAATTCTTCCAACGATATAACTTCTAATGAGAGTTCATGCTAGGCAAGATTTCATCTCTCCTCAACTCCATGAAAGAGCAGATAATGCCACTATCATTTCCTTTTACCAAATGAGCATTAAAATAGATAATAAAAATGTAAAAAGAATAGCAAATTAAATTCAAAGGGGGCAACAGGAAGGAATTAATAAATTTATGAAGTAGAAAAGAAATAGACCACAGAGAAGATCAACAAACAACAAGAGTTGGTTGTTTGAAAAGGGTAATAAAACTGACAAGCCAAAGCTGAGGGTGATCAAGAAAAAGCACAAGTAAACAAAACGAGGAATGAAACTACATATGCTTCAGAAAGCTGACAGAGAATGAGGACATTATGAACTACTTTCTTCTTATATATTTTGATGATCTGTATTAAATAAAGGCATTCCTGGAAAAGTTTGATGGACTCAAGAAGAAA